CTTACAAAGTTTTCTTTCTTGGGATAGTTGTTCTTCTCTTTCTAAGGTTTTTTTCTGTGGTTTTTCTCTCTCTGATCTCCGGTCTTTAATATCAATCGATGGAGCTTTTTTCACGATCGTTAAAATGGTGATATCAGACGATTCCAGCGATTGAACGATTTTACTCGTCGATCTCACATGATCTAGGTGGAGGACGATCTCACTTGCGATTTGGATCGCTGGGTTGAAAAAATCGCATGATCGTACGATCCCACGATGTTAATCGCGATATTGACAACATTGCTCAAGGCAACTGATCTATATTTAATTTTTCCCGAAAAAATAAATAAATATTATATTTTAATAAAAAATTACGAAAATATAATTGTTTTAAATCAATTTACGAATTTATTATAGTCAGTCACGTCCAACATGGGCGTGACCACAATCCCACCCATGCATTTCTATGTGTGTCACCTCACGCATATACCTCCATTTTTTACTTTTTCATTTCACACTATCTCTTTTTTTTTTGGTACTCATTTACGCTATCTCTCTACTTTCTCTCTAAGATTTTGATATGACTTTTCTTTATATTTTTCTTTGATTTTTTTGTGTAGTAAAGCTCTACCAGTCAATTAAATCTTAATATTCGTTTTCTATATTTTTAATTACAACAATAGATATGTTATACTAGTAACCTAGAAAATCGTTAGTGAATTAAGAAATTGTTAGTGACTTAAGAAATTGTTAACCTATAAATTTGTTAGTGACTTAGAAAATTATTAGTAACCTAGAAATTTGTTAGTGACTTAGGAATTTATTAGTGACCTAGGAATTTGCTACTGACCTAAGAATTTGTTAGTGACTTGGGGAATTTAAATGACTTAGGAAATTGTTAGTGACTTAGGTTATGATTATTGACTTAGGATAATTATAGAGAATTATAATATATACATACATACTTTTAATAAAAAAAATATATAATTTTTTTTTAAATCTTGTACTAGACATGTAAATGATTTGAAATTAAATTTATTATAACAATTAATTTATAATTTTTTATAGTATATTATTATGGCTAATTCGTCATCATATAAGTCTCCTCGTCTACATTCGAGCACGAGCCTGAGCCTATCGATCTCACCACACAATCCTTCCTGGACCATACAAGCGGGAGGTACTCTGCAGGAGGACACAACACATGCACGTTTCATAGGTCGTGTGGAATGAGGATAAGATTCAACTGCTGAAAACTTGACACGGTAGACTGCAAGGGAGACCAGCTCTTGACAATATTCTGGACGGGGTTGTTGAGTACCTTACACAGGTCGGATTCATACATGTCGCATACATACGTCATATTAAGGAATGCATTTTAGAATATAATATATTATATTGTGTTTAAATATAAACTTTGTAAATTAGTGAATTGTTTACATATGAATTGATAATTGTCTTATGTATTTCAGATTAATCCTGACCTTATCAATGCTTTGGTTGAGAGGTGGAAACAATAGACACACACATTTCACATGACACAGGGCGAGATGGCCCTTACCTTGCAGGATGTGGCGGTTATCTTGGGATTGCCTACTAAAGGGCAAGTGGTTACCATATCTACCTCATTGGATTGGTTGGTCGTTTGTGAGGAGGTTTTTGGCCATGTGCCTAACAAGGCCACTGAGCTTGATATGCAGGGTTTTCTGATGCAGTTTGCCAACTGCTCAGTTGCTCTTGATATGTGTTGGCATTTCCTCGCCTTCAAAAACTACACCACGTCAACCTTCAACTTTCCTACCATTACAATATAGAACAACACAAACAAAATCAGAATGTAAACTCATTCTTAAATATCTAAACAAAAAACACAATAGAGAGTATGAATAAGCAAGTGAGATTGTATGTAAGAGTAAGGGTTTATAATCGAGAAGAGTTGTTAAGAGTGTGGAGAGGAAAAAGGTTTAAATAGGGGACAAATGTGCCAATCACGCTTAAGTTAAGCAAGTTAGGGTGCTTGGTCGTGCCCAGAAAAGGCAAATTAGGCAGCTAGGTTACACCTAGCTTGGGCATGAGTGGTCACGCTTGGAAAATGAGTGAGTGGTGTGTTGGTCATGCCTGAGTGAGGTGTGAATGGTCATGCTCATTTTGGGTGTAACTAAGTGCATTATAGATCCGTAAATTGGTTCAAAACAGTTCTGTTTTGTAATTTTTTATTGAAATAATAACATTTTTTTTTTTGCCAATTTCCCCCCTCTATCTCTGTGATTTTGTAAATGAGTATAAGTCTGCGCTACGACTGATGTGATATTTTTTATTTATGTGTCAACAAATAAATAGTAGATTACACTAAATCTTAAGTGCAACGGTTGCACTCAAAATTTATTCCAACCTAGCAGCCATGAAAAATAAGAATATAATTGTGACCTCAACTTGAATCCGTATTTAAAAGAACAAATTAAAGAGCTTGATTATGATTACAAAAAAAAAAAAAAGAGCTTGATTATATGGATTTGCATAAAAGGGTTTGCATCATATACATAGCATTATTTTCTCATTGAGAAAAACGTCAATATAGTTTATTTGAAATTTGTGTAAAAAAAATAATCCAACATCACGTATTTAACTCTCAATTTTAAAGGATTCCAAACTTGAATGTTAAGAATAAAACGTTCTTATTTTAGTAGGTTGAAATTTATTTTTTTATGACACATTTTGAATTTAGTCTCAGCATAAAAGAGTTTTCAATTTAATTAGTTGATGTATGTACTTTTATTCTTATTATTTTTTTTATATACTGATTTTAATTATCTGTTTGAGATGAATCGATATCCGAATATTTTCTCAATGGTCCGTGTTGAGGCTTAGTTACAGATAAAAATTTTCACCCTTCTTTAAAAACGTATTTTGTAAGATCGAACATAGATTCTCTCTTCACTTTACTCATCTGTGTTGTCAACTAATACTATACTACACTCATTGAAATATTATTCTTATTTTAGTCTTTATTATTCATTGCTTATATAATAGGGGATGAATTTTCTTATGTTGCAGTTGATAACACCATTTTCCAGCAGATACAAACGTATGCAGGTCCCATCATTAATCATTAAAGAAAATAAAAAACAAAAAACTCAAAAATCAATTTTTCTCTGTAGGAGTTATTGTTCACATTCCTGCGAATGGAGAATAGTATTTCCGTATATAATATCACTTAAATATGTAATAGGACGAGAGAGGTTCGAAAACTCCGTCGATAATTCAAGTCTCTCTCATCCCATTACATACATTTTTTTTTTATCGTTCCTTTTAATTTGACATTTTTTTAATCCCGATCATTTCGTTACAATTTATCAAACGATGTTTAACAAAATATCATTCTTTGGCAGTGCCAGTTTCAGACATCGGGGTGGTGGCGCAGTTGGCTAGCGCGTAGGTCTCATAGCTTCTGAGTGATCCTGAGGTCGAGAGTTCGAGCCTCTCTCACCCCATTACATATTTTTTTATCGTTCCTTTTAGTTTTACATTTTTTTTAATCCCGATCATTTCCTCTATACTCGCTCGCGGTGAAGGTGTTTGCTCACGAATGTCCCTGCAAATGGCCACTGTCACCTTGCACCACGACATTTTGCTAAATGCGAGAATATTATTCTTATATTCACTTTCTCCCTGATAACGTAGAGAAATGCAATCTAAAAGAAACTAACAAGAACATCGATTAAAGTGTTATTTTTTGTCAAATTTTTGTGTGACACTATGGTAAAAATACTGTTCGAATAATATTTGAATAAAAAATTTGTCAGACTTTGATTACTGTTCCAAACTAATAGCTAAGCTATCTATCTACTGCTGTAAAACGAGCCAGAGTCGCAGAAGTAGTTGTTCAAGTTCAACCATGGATCAAACTAGCCATGAATCGTATTGTTGGCTACAACTTTGGATTTTGTCGCTTTTGTTCTATTTTTTTATTTGAGCTCGTGAATTGGAGAACAATTTTTTGCAATTCCATTTAAAAGATGATATTTGTCTTAAAAAAATATTTTTCTTTCTTTTCAAGACATACATCATATTCTTTCTCTGATTTTAATTGATTTATCTTATAAGTAGTGGTCCGGTTCACAAAAAATATTTCCTGTGAATCGGGTTTAATGGGGAGTCACATCACGCGGTTAATAATAATGATATTCTGAGAACCATTTTCCGAGGCAAATGACATTCGACTTGTCAACTTGAGAGGGCTCTAACCCTATGCATATTTAATGTCAAACACCTTTCTTTTTTCTAAAGAAAAATAAATAAAGGAAGAATGTATCAACGGCCCAGAACGCGTCTGCACAATATCAAGTGGATTCAGTCCTTACCCCACGGCGCCGTATGTTTCACTTTCATATTTGCCTGCTACTTAATTATTTCAACTTCAAAATAAATAATTCTAACATAAAAAAATAAAAAATAAAAACAGGATTAGTGTTAATGGCGTATTACTTTTCAAGAAGATATAGTGTTACTTTTACAATAAAAACTTTATTAACACGTATCCTTATGAGATTATAAATTTTTTAATATTTTCTTCTTTAAAGTTATTCAATAAAGATTATAGCGTAGCTTAGACGGCTTCCAGAAGATAACTGAATCACGGCCTCATACGCCTCACCTGCAGAGAGAGAAAAGTTAAAAAAAAAACCGTTTGGTTAACGCGAAATAAGAGACGTGGTTACGCCGCGTTTGGTACAAAATGAGAGTCGAAGGAATAAATAATAACAGAGAAGGAAAGAGTCTTTGTCGTTTTAAATGATATAACATTTTGTTCTTTTAATGTTCTTTTAAGAGAGACAGACACAGAAAAACAATTTATTTAAATTTAAATTAAAAAAATTACTCACTTTTTCTCTTTCTATTTTTCCGTATCTATCTCTCTCCTAAAATGACATAACTTATATCATTTTAAACCCAAAAAATATATATTGAGAAAATTAGAAAAAGAGAAAGTATTTGGAACTTTCTTAGGAATTCCAGACAGAGAGAGAGCGTTCTTGTTTTTTTGTGTGTGGAGGTTCTTTTCTTTGGGACTTTCCTTCAAATTCCCTTCTTTATTTACCTTGTAACCCCAATCAACCACAAGTCCACAACCAAACCCTTTCTTTTCCCCTCTTTTTTTGAATTTTTTTTCTTCCATTTTCCATCTCTCCACGGAAAATCTTGAAATTCCATTTCCATTTCAATTTCATTTCCCCTCTCGATAGTTTCATCTGAAGGTTCGATAACTGTAATCTTCCTTCCTTCTCTTCCTTTTATTTTTTCGAATCTTAGGGATTTGAAATTTTGAATCTGATCCATCGATCGGTTCCGATCACCTTGCAGGTTGCGAGAAAAAAAAAAGAAATGGCGGAAGAACACAGATGCCAAGCTCAGCGCCTCTGCGCCAACAATTGCGGTTTCTTTGGCAGCACCGCCACGCAGAACCTTTGTTCGAAGTGCTACGGCGATTTGCAGCTCAACGAACAACAATCTTCCTCCGCCAAGCTCGTCCTCAATCAATCGCTAGCCTCTCCTCGTTCTCCGGCGGTGGTTTCTCAGCCGTCTTCTTCGTCGCCTTCTGAGGATGTGGTTGATCCGCCGCCACGCGCTGCGGAGGAGGCGAAGCCTCCTTCGCAGCACCAGCAGAACCGGTGCATGACGTGCCGGCGGCGCGTGGGACTCACGGGATTCAAGTGCCGGTGCGGGTTGACGCTTTGCGGGACCCACCGTTACCCGGAGCAGCACGGTTGCGAGTTCGACTTCAAGGGGCTTGGGAGGGAGCAGATCGCGAAGGCGAATCCGGTGGTGAAGGCTGAGAAGCTCGAGAAGATCTGAGAAAACGAAGGAAGGGTGTTATGGTCATTTCGCGTTTGAGGTTGTTGTTGCCAATATTTACCAAAGAAAATTATTCGGATGCAGTTCCGGGTCGGACACTTGGCCCGTTGCGTGTGTGTTACCTTCGGATCGGTGGGTGGTGATGGTTGGGTGGGGTGGGTGGGTGGCTGGGTGGGTCATTTTTATGTAGTTGCGTTGTTATTTGTAAATTAAATTTAAAAACATTTTAATTAATGTTGACCTTTCTTTATGGTTGAACTTGAAGGTTATTTATTTCCTCTTTCCTAGCTCGAAAAAATTTAAGTTTTTCTTTTGCAATACGGTAGGCCAGAAAGGCAATTTAAAATTAGGGGTACTCACGAAGTCATGATATCTGCTCTAACCAGAAAATTTAAGGGATCATCAATTAATAATTGCTAACTCGATCTGTCTAAGGGTTTTCGTACTATAGAATGTAGACCGGGTAATGGAAAACCACATCATTCATGTAGTTATAACTAAATAAAGAACGAAATGAACGAAACAAAGGTTTGAACATTAATTTTAAGACCGAGGATATTCTTACTACTAAAATTTTCTATTATTAATGGTGATCCAATGTTGATCCAATGGTGAATAGATAGGTAGTGAGTTGGTAGTAGAAAATTTCGATAGTAAGAATATCTTTTCTCTAATTTTAATCGGGTTTTTTTTTTTTCTACTTTCTCATAATTTTCAAGATTTTACTGGTTAATCAAAATCAAAATATTATTTTTTAATTACATGAAAAATGGATGATGAGGTAGAAGCTTGGAGATGCAACAGAGCAGCATCATGTAGGTCCATTTGAAGTGCATGTGGGCTTTTGCTTTGAAACATATTAATCAAACAAGCGAATATGTCTTTTTGAGTTTCGGGCTAAAGATTATTATTGTTGATTTCTTTTTTTTAGTAAATTAATGATTTCTTTTCATTTTAACCACTTTTACTTTACTTTTCTTCCTTTTCCTTTTTCCTTTTTACCCCGAATTTTCGTTTTCTTTTATTCCATTTATGCCAACTAGATTCGTACTCCATTTGTGAAAAATACTTTGCACTAATTATTACTCATCAAATAAATCCTATTGAAAGCTTTTGAATTTTTAAAGATAAGATGGGCGATAATATTTACATTGAAAATTCGAAAAATCAAATTAATGTTTCACATGTTCATAAAACTTTTGAGGCGTGATTTTCGAATTTAGTATTGTTACAACCATTATGTCTGTGGTTGACACTATATGAGAGCTTGAGACATAATGATGTTGTTAGGACTATAGGACCCGTGGTCGACACCATATTTGATTATATGACGATTTTGATAAAACATGAAATTTCTTTGGCTATATGGCACTTGGAGAGAAATTTGAGAACTGACAAAGAAAATAGCAGTTTGGTTGTTGTTGGATTACGTTGACATGCTATTTTCTTGCTACACTCCACACTAATGACTAGTCAACGGAGTCAAATAACATTTGTGACCATAGAAGGGCTTATATCGGTAGATGATATAATCACCGTCTGATTAATTGTTATTTGACTTTAGTAAGATGGAGTTATATTCAGATATCGCACTTTGGATCATGTGTTTTCTTAAAATATGATCACATTATAAAAAATAGTCCTTAGTTTCAGAGTCATTTTTAAATAACTTTTTTTCCTTTTTTTTAATTTTTTTTTTTAAATTTAACAATTGATTTTACCTAAGTGGGAGAATATTAGAGTTTTTTTATAATCAATGTGCGATTTAATCAATTGTAGGTTTTCTTATTTTGATAAAACGGGTTAAATTATGATTCATATAGGGGTACAATATAAAATCTATTTAATTAAGTGATCCTCTTGTTTGGGTTTGAATATCTGTAAACTAATTGGTGTGTGTAACAATGCAGGCCTAACCAGTGGCGGACCCAGAAATTTTTATTGAGGGGGGCGAATTTTTTTTAATTATATATATGTACCTAATATAAAAGTTTTGAAAAAGATTTATTACAAAATTCAAGGTTAATTCACTTAACTCTTTCTCTACGTTTTTTTTCACATTATTAAACTCTTCTATAATTGAATTTGTGCTAAAATTCAAAACAATTTCTTTTTCAACATATGTAATTAAAGAATCATCAAGAAATTGATTTTCCATTCAATTTTGAAGTCTGGTCTTGATTTTTTTCATTCGATAATGGATGCGAGCTTTTCTCCTTCTCCAATATTTAGCTCAAAAAATTGGAATCCTTGTTTGTGTGTTTTGCTGTTGTCTTCTTTGACAAAGATTTTCGCCACCCTCTTGATAATCAAGTGTGGTTGATTTTGAAATTTTTTCTTGAGCCCTAAAAGTTTGCTCCTTCCTTTGAAAAAAACTCCAATTTCAATTTCTAAAGTTGTGTTTGTTTAAGGTTTTTTTGAATTTTCAGTCCAATTACTTAATTTTTTTAGTCTGAAATTAATTTTTCCTGCCCAAAATTATATATATAGTAAAAAAAATTCTTAAAATCAGGGAGGGGCGGTGGCCAATCCTAGCCCCTCCCCTGGGTCCGCCTATGGGCCTAACCCGTAGGCCTATGATAGGAAGAAGACTAGGGTTAATAAGTTTGGCTCGGTCCCCTCTGCATTCACAGTGTGTTGAAAAAATGTCACTCTACAACTCGCCCATAGATGGTTGTGTCAGGGAGTGGTGTCAATTGCAGAGGAAGATCCTGGTCTTTCCAACCTTGTAGGAGTATCAGACAAACAAAAAGCAAGAAAGCCTTCAAGAAATCAAAAATCACATCTTCAACAAGTAAGCCTAAATCTTTTGGTGTTCTAATTTCATATAATCCTATTTTGCAATTTCTTATATAGACTCCTTGTTGCCATTGCCATCCTTTTATATTTACGAGTATGTTTGGTTAATCTATTAGAGTATCGTTAGAAGGGTTGTTAGTAGTGTAGTTGGTTTATATGTAAGTAACAGAAGATGCATAAGTAGTATAAATAAGAAGCTCAGTCTAAAAGCAAGAAGTAACAAATAATCTTAAGTTTCCTTGATTTCTTCTTAATTTTCTTTCCTTCTCGTGGTTACAATCATAAAAAATCCATTGGCTTTAAACCTTTTCTTTTATGCATATTGATTAGACCTGTCAAAAAAGGCCACAGCCCTAGGGCTAGCCCATTTAGCCTTGTCAAAACCCCATTCATTTTTTAGCCCTCTGTGTGGTAAGGCCATCTCAGCCTAAACCCATGAGGCCATTCCATTTATTGGGTTAGGTTAGGACGGCCCGTGGATCAAAATCATTCAGATCATTTTTCGTTGAACTACACAATTTTCTCGAGAAAATTATTGTTCGCTTTTCCGTCAAACCTTAGTTTTATTGTGTTCTGATAGATTCACAATCACCCTATGTAGATTCCAATCATAGAGCCTCTCCCACTTCTCACACTTGCACCCACTAAGCTATCTAATACCCATTTCGCCCAAATTCAATAAACCTTCTTCAACAATTTGTGTCAGCTACGAGTTGAACACCATCGCTTCTCAAAACATCAACTTCACACCCTAGTAGGGATGGATCCGAAAAGATTTCACTGAGTTACAGTAGCACCTTGACCATTACTTATTCAAGGTTAGATGACTCTTCACAATGTTTTCTTTACTGGGAGTGCTTTATGCTTTGATAAAGAATTAGAGAGCCATAAACTGATGTTTCAATCTCTTACCATGTTTTTCTCTGATTGGCAAGCTAAACTGCTCCTGTTGGGATCAAAACTAAAGAATAAGATTTTTTAAGCAAAATATTTAGGGACTGCAAGGTGGCCCTCTTAATCACACTTTTACAGGTTTAGCTGTTGCATTGAAGCAGGTATATGTTTAGAGAAGATAAAGATGATCTTTACTTTACTGTTGTTTAACTTTTGAGAGACTCATGAAAGGGATCCATGCCACTGTCTTTTTTTTCTCGTCTTTTCTTTTTTCCTGATATTGTGGTTTGTATATTGAATTAAAATGCACAAAATGTATAGTAAGAAGAACATTCGTCCCTGGTTTCTGGTAGTTGTTATAAATTAAATGCATAGACAGACTGATTGTTTCCATTTGCATTATAAAATCCAGATGTTGTTCCTGCTATCTTGTTGTAATTGAAGAAATCAATCCTATTTCTCTACTCTTGCAAATCACATGACACACATATTACATTAAACAAACAGGTTGGCTACTCTCTGCTCCTACTTATTCTAAATGCTCGTTTCATTTCTCAATTGTAATTATTTTTTATTCTGGTCTATTCGAATTCTCAGTTATTTGATAAGATGCATCATTGACATGATGGAAGCGAAAAGAATAAAATATTTTGTAAACCACCACATGATAATGCGCCTTTTGTCTTTTCTTTTTAGCATCATGTTCTGTGACTAAATTTACAGTGAAGCTCTTCGTGGAATTTTCATGATTAAAATGAACTGAGAGGTGTTGAAACTGAGAGGTCTTAAGTCCCATATGCTTTTCCTATATGGAATCAACATGCACAGATGAGAATTAAATCCATAAACTTGTATGCCAAAATTGTATAAAATTATAAAGAAACATAATTGTTTATTCTGATTTTATTATATACTTGTATAAATTGATTTGTTCATTTTACTTTTAATTTACTTGTATAAAAATTTATTTATTTATTATCCCATATTCTCCATTTGACGTGTTCTGTGAAAACAAGCATGATTGTTATGTGCGCAGTGCTCAGTTCGTGGTGTAATAGCTTTGTTTCATTGTTTTCTGATTCCACCAAAGGAAAGGATTTCGCACCACTGGTCAGAATCATAAAGATAACAGGTTCTTTTGTAGTTAAAATTTCTTAAGCTTGGTTGTGCTTTATTCTTAATACCACGCAACCTGGGAAACACAACATATTGTGCTCTTTTGAGAATTTTGACTATAGATGAAAACAATTTTAGCAATGTGTGTCTGGAATCTGGGTATAGATTGGATTTTTTCCCCTTATTTCAAGGTTGCAATGGACACTGGCTGATTTGGCTAGTTTACTGTATATCTTTGGATCGAGTGTTTATCATAAATAGAAAAGTCTATTGAATTGAGTATTCTAGGAAGATCTTTTGATTTTTGGTAGATTTTATATTTGTTTTAGTAGCGTAATCTTGATACTG